GGTGCGTATAATATATTTTAAATACTTATATAAAATTTAAATATATTTTAAATACTTATATAAAATTTTAATAAGAATGTACATAATTAAAATTGTTTCCCACAAAATAAATTTACTTCAATTGTGACAAACCCAGTTATTTAAATTATTTATTAATATTATATATATATATATTATTAATAGATTTAAAAAGAATCTAATCAATTATGACAAACCCCCAATTGTTTTGATTTAAAAACTGCTAAGGTCCAATGAAACTATTGCTAGCAATACACCCTATCGGAGGAAGGGATTGTTATTAGTGCGGACTAACAGTCCCATTGCTAGCAATATACCCTGTCAGGTCGACCTCCACGTGGTCCCCCCTGGAAACCATCGTAACTAATTAATCGTTGAATTCGTCACGATGGGCTAACTGACCTGCCTTTTCATCCTCATCAATTATGCCTCACTGGTGCTCCGCCAGTACGCTTACGGTATACATACCGTAAGCGTAGGCGGGGCTACCATTCCATTATCATCCATTAAAAAATACACCCCATTCAGGTCGACAGTTGATATGATGGTTAATTTAAAACATCGTGATTAATTCTAGTGAACATGAATGTCACTATAACTTATGCTTTCATCGTCACCTAATCATCCTCACAATGGTGCCGTCAGCGTATAAGAAAGCGTAAAATTTTGGGTTAAGAATCCATTATCACTTATAAAATAAACAATATTTAATAGACAATATATTCATTGTTCTCGACAGTTTATAAAAATATATGATGATAATTTAAAAATGTATCTGTATGTAACATGAATGTAATATAATTTTATTATTGTAAGTAATTCTTAATATAAGATCGAGAGCAATGAATGCGGGTCGCCTAAAGAAACCTATAAATTTTGGAAACTAAGAATGCTAGCTTAATAAAATAAACAATATTTAATAGACAATATTATTTCATTGTTCTCGAGAGTTTATAAAAATCCTATATCTCGTGGCGCATAGAGCGCACAAACTGTATGTCTGTATACACACATACACTGACATGTAAAAGTGTTTCCAAAATTGATCCAATACCATCCCGGGTAGCAGGTGCATTTACCTATGCAATTCACACGATCCATCCAAAGGATTGGATGTCCGTTGAAAAAATAGTAGCACCAGCAAGTTGCTGCGTGGGAAATAACGTAACGGATCTCTCCCATACGTTAATACGCAATCACTTTTATGGGAGCACTGTAATGCTCCGATTTTCCGCTAGCGCTACAGAAAACTGCCTATTACCGGTTTTAACTGGAATTGAGGTTGTTTCCCTTCTATATTTTCCATGGTTTGGTACGAATGTTTTGATGTTTTTATTTGACTGCCCAAAAAGGAGTGTAATGTTTTTTGGTTTCGTGTTTGTATGTGAATTTTTATATTCTAACTTCTAAATTCCTGAACCGATTTGGACGTATAAGGTGTCGTTAGGATCCTTTTGTTATTCTGCGTAACGCTGTTTCTAAGTTTTTATTGGATTGTAATTTTTTTTTATAACATGCACTCTTGTCTGTGACTATTATTGTACAATGTAAGTATAAATTAAAAAATAAAGTATAAATTAATAATATTAAAAATAATTTTAGTAACAAGTCTTTTTGATATTTTTGTATAAAATATTTATTTAGACGAAGCCATATTTATATACTTTTGTCTTTTATAGGTTTTTCTTCATTGTTTGTTTTATGTGTTTTAATTCTAATCGGTATTGTTGATGAAAGATCACTTCGGAATTTAGTTCATAATTCATTTTGAACTAATTTTTAATTACTCGTGTTCCAAAAGTAGAAAAAAAAAAAGAAAAAAATATTTGTCATTATATCATGAATATACATTGTATTATATTATGAAGATTAATATTTACTAGCTCTAACACGCGACCTCGTCCACGTAATACATTTATTAAATTATTTTTCCTTTTAATATCTCTCTGTCTCTTTCTCTTTAAATAGTATGCCTTGAATTATCCTTATTAATATTTCAATATTATTAAAAATATATATTAAAAATACTAAAAACAAATAATATAGAAACAACACTATGTGTAAATATACTATGATGTAACAATATAGGTATTAATATTTTACAACAATATTGTTTTACCCACAAATGTGCAAAAAAAATAATCATCAAAATCAATGTAGTATCGGTGTTGGCGACCCAACAAATATTTAATATTTTATCTTTATATCATGGCAATCTCTTTTGCTTGAATTAACGTATTTTTTTTTTATATTATAATATCGTGTCGCAAATACTTAATAAAAGTGTCAAGTGCTCCTTCATTCACGTATCCAGTAATCAACCTACAGTACACTCTCCCAGAGCTACACAATCGGCAAACTAACAAAAAGTGTAATGTATACAAAAAAATTAACCGAAATTGTAATTTAGAAGCACCTCCTCTTTGAAGTAAATTGAAAATTAAGGTAAATCCTTTAGTATTAGACCATCGCTGTTAACAAGTGTACATTCTTCGACACGTGTTTCCCTGCCACTGGTATCATTAAGTTAATCGATTGGTTGGAGTTTGGTAAACTAACACAGAGTCATCTTTTACTAACATGCGGTGAAACTTTATGCAAAATATTATTATGAAAAAGTATAATTATACTGGTTTATAAGAGAGATAAATTAATGCAATCGTTTAGGTAATCTAAGATAAATTACCTGAACAATCTCGACCTTTAGCTGTGTAGCTGTGTAGTCCCGGCATAGAATAGGCCACTCCTTCCTTTCCTGTGGATGTCGTAAAAGGCGACTGGGGTACTTACTGGTCGAGGAATGAGCAGCAGTGTCCCTTTTTAAATATCACAAAAGCCCAATTGGGATTGCCAATTCACCTGTCATTCAAGGCAAGTACTGGCAAAACCCTTCTATAGGGTGAAGGCTATGTTTAACAATGGAAAAATAACAGCTGTTGTAATAATAATGATGATTATCCAGATGTTTCGACAAGATCCCCTAGACAAAATACAAATGAATCTAGCAATAGAATCACACGAAAAAGGACGAGGAAGGTCGACCTCCACGTGGTTCCCCCTGGAAACCATCGTGAACAATTCTTGTTGAATTCGTCAAGATGGGCTAACTGGCTTGCTTCATCCTCACCTATCATCTTTCACTGGTGCCCCGGTGTATACCGATAGCGCGGGTGGGGTTACCATTCCATTATCACCCATAAAAAAAAGCACAAGTCGCCATCTTGTTCTATCTTATTTATTCGCTAATAATAATGACTCTGGCAATAGATTCGGTTGTACTTTGTCTAAGGGTACTGGTTACATCAGCTCTAGTCACGGGTAGACTGATATAGTGATGTCATACATCCGCTCCAAAAGCATTTTCTACCCACACATTTTCATACATCATACAAATTATTTCTCTTTACTGAAAATTTCTGCACAAAATATTAATGTCTCTATTAAATGAATTTACTGACTGCATTGCATTGCAAGGAGTCAGTATAAGCAGGTGGCTAGGGACCATTCCTTATGGTAGTTTATGGGAGAGAGCTATGTTCAACACTGGACAGATAATGGCTGAGATGAGAATGATGACAATGATGATGACTGTACACTAGGTATAGTGGGGGTAAATACTGATGTTCAGACCACGGAGAGATTCGAATTCTATTTCACGAGCTACAAGTTTCAAATTATAAAATTTCATTCACAGGAATTAAATTTGGAATCACTGAAATGACTTACAAGGAAAACTAACCGTTATTATATTACGGAAATAAATATTTACTAAACTAAGTACACTTACTTAATTTAGTTTGTATTTCATTCGAAATAGAAATTAGAAATAATAAATGAAACAAACACAATTGCTCCGCGCGTTCTTTATTTATTTTTTTCGATACCGACTAGAAGAAAACAACAAATCTTTGGGGTTACAATAAATATTTGGTGTATAAATGTTGTACAAACATTTTTGTTATTGTAATTCATTAATATAATATTATTAAAAAAAAAAGAAAAAAGAAAAATGTAATACTCTTCTGTAATGTGGAATGTATAAAATTTAATTAAGTTATTTTTATTTGGTATAAATACTCTGTAGGTATGAAATTAAAATTACTTTACACATTCTGAACAGCCGGAATTTGGACTTTATTATTTTTATAATAAAAATTATTACGATATTTGGAAATTTAATAAACATACTCATATATTAACAACATTGTTATAATACACTTTTTTATTCTAGAAATTACTAAATTAATTTTGATCTGTATTTAAACAGGAAATTAATTTAACAGCGTACACGTGTTACATTTATATTTAATTTAAATTAATTACACATGAATAATCATAAGTTGATATTCTGTTCTTATAAAATTTATACAGTTTCAATAATTAGTTATCTAAATAGAATTAATTTTAATTAGCTTTCTTACTTCTACGATCAGAACCACAAATGCTTTGTCTAAATAACACTTATAAGTACATAAGAGTGTAACGTGACATTTATTTTTTCTATTTACAAAAATAACGATTTATTCACACACAAAACTTAAAACTATTAATTTCTTTGCTAGCAATATAGAGTACATTGCTTGCTTTAGATCGACCTTAACGCGGAAACTATCATGGTTAATTATTGTTAAATTTGTCGCCATGAGCAAACTGACTGACTGATTTATACTCACTTATCATGCCTCACTGATGCCTGTCCGTGTACCGATAGCGCAGACAGATTTATTTTTTATTTTATCCATTAAAAAAATAACTATATAATTTTTGCTGTAGTTTCGAGAAATAAAAAAAAAGAATATTTGTGCTATATTTCGGTTTAAGCTTTCATGTCAGCTGCATCTATCTATCTATCAACAAAATGATGATGATGTTAAATTGAGATTATATTAATAACATAACAAAGAGATGTCCAATATATTATATATAAATAAATGATTATTCTAAAATTAGACTAATGATTATTAAATTAAATTATATATATATATATATATATAGACATAAAATGTCTAATATTCTAATCCAGTAGGTGGCCCATTTGTATAAAAAAAATTCATTCAAATTTAAGAATAACAACACAAACATTTCTTACAAATTTTCTTATCTAAACTAATGGATAAACTGTAAAAATACTTAACTGATATTGAAAATGTTTCCGCTAATAGACATCTTCATTTTTGGCCAGTTACGTTCAAAAAGATTTAGTGAATTTCTATCTATCTACGCGAACAAAACCAGGGGGGTCGCTAGTTCACAATATTATTAAAATAACAAGATGGGTACTTTAAATTGAAAATCATTATCATTAGTTTGAATACATAAAATTCGAACACGTTTACTCGATAGTTATCGATGCGAGTAATTACTGTGCTCCAATATTTATTGCATCGATTCATCAAATCTGAAAATAACATATCCTCAACATCATGAAAGGATATTATCGATGTGTCACTTCGTGAAAAATTATCACATAGATTTTGTCTATCTATCATTTTATCTTCACGCCATGACCCTAAAGCTCTGTTCACACTGAAAGCTAAACTAAATTAACTTTGTTAAGCTTGGTTTAGCTAAACAAACTTACTTAATTTTCTATAACTTTGTGCACGTAATTGTGGCATACTGTCATATATCTGTGAAATAACTAACTTTTTTTAAAGCACTGAGCTGGCAAACATATGGCATATGGCCCACATGATGGTAAGCGGTTACCATAGCCTATGAACACCTACAATACCAGGGGCGTCACCAACCCCGAAGGAACCTCTTTATTCGTTTTTTGAAGGACCCATTTTTTGGAAAAACCTAACTAAGCTAAGCGAACTAAATCAACAATATGAGCTAGATAATTTGGCAATACTTACTAAACGAACCATCTCTCATTGTCTGGGGTGAAGATAGAGAAACATTACTATATCTTTCCTTCAATCCTGGTTTTCTGTACAGACTCAATAATTTAGTTTATGTATCTTTGCTCAGCTTGCATAATTAGATGTAGTCTGAGTGAGCTGAACTAAATGAAGTTATCGCTTAGTGCAGTCTAAGTGTGGTTTACACTTATGCTTAGTGAGCTATGCCAAATAAAATTAAATTGACTTAGCTCTCAGTGTAGTCTGCACTTAATTATATGTATAATTAGTACATCCAATTAATTAGGTGTGGTCATAATTTAATTGAAATTCTGATGATGTATTCGATTGTTTCAACAAACCATGCAGTAAATATATTCTACTCTTGTTTATAGTATACAAAAATATTTAGTTTTTAAACATCGAAAAAAAATACACAGAATAAGTAGTAAAATATAGATTAAACTAAAATTCAGTGACATTGACATTCATGAAACAAAAAATAACTTGGCCAAGTTACTCAGACGAAGTCTTAAAAGTAAGAATCGTTCAAAATATCTATATAATATTTTAGCAGTGAAACTAGATATTTTTCAAAGTTTTTTTTTATACAACTTAGAATGGCAAACAAGCTGACGGCTCACCTGTTGGAAAGTGGTAACTGTCGCCTATAAACATGAGCAGTACCATGGACATAACAGAGTTAACCGTTTCGCCCATGATACCCCCCATGCGTTGCCATTCTTGAGGACTCAGGTTTTATTCCTCTGTACTCTGTAAATTCACGCCATATCCCACCCTTCAAACCGAAACACAGCCATGCAAACACAGCTGTTTCACGGTTGAAACACGAATGAGACAGAGGTACCCAAGCAAACAACTTTTGTACAAAGTCTCCCTCTGGTAAAATGGTAATGTTACTAGTCGAATAATGACAGTAGAACAACCCCAAAATATTTCAAAATGGTTTTGTTGATTTCAATTTCACCTTAATGTATACATATATAATAATCTGAGCCATCTAATCGTGTGTCTTGTACGCAAGTTTATACAAGTATATAAAAAATACATAATTATATTAAATACTTTAAAATCACAGATTTCATTAATCTTAACCTATTTATATTCTAATAACTAAATACAAAATACATATTTTACACATTACATTAGAATTTTCAATATAAGATAAATCATCTGAGCTGAAATTTTAATAAACATATAAGCAATATTGTTATCAGTTCTGGTGTTGATTTGGTTGAACAACCTGCAACAACAAAGATCAGAAATAAATAAATGTGACTAAATTAATAAATAAAACATATTGACTTTCATTTGTTGTTATTTATGTTTGTTTAAAACTTTGTATTTTAAATCATATATAGAGAGAAATTAGAAATACACTGCAGGTAAACACTTAATCCAAAAATAACAAGAAGTATCAATAGACAAAGATTTTTTTTATCCTTTTTATTTAGAGGCTTTTATCCTATAAGGATATGTCAGCCTCATCATACCCTAATTTTATAAAATACCTCACATACTTAAAATATTGATACATAAATAAATAATACATAATATCTTAGTAGTCTATTTTGATAAAGGAAATTATTGATACAAAAATATAGTAATTAAAGATTTTGCCATTGCGGAATGTGGTTCTGCGAGTAAATAAATAAAGATGCTCAATTCATCTTTTGTTTTTTTTATCTTCTTCTTACTAATCTTTACGATTCATGAACCGATTTCGGTAGATTCGTTTCAATCGTTAAGTTTATTGGTATATATTAATCAAAATCTTAAACTATTTACTTTTTATATTCAGTAAATGGGATAAAAAATAGTTTATGTTCTTCTCCATTCCATATAGTACACATGTATTAAATATCGGGCAATTGGTTCAGTCAATAAAATGCTAAGAGTTAAAAACAAACAAACTCATTTTCTTATTTATAATATTAATACTATTGTAGTAGTATCAAAAATAAATCATCAGCATTTTTTTATAATTTAAGGATATCAATTGTATATAGACTCTTTATTGTTTCCTCCAAAAGATTACAGTGGAGTATTTATTACTTACATACCCATTCCTATCCTATAAGAAGTACTCGTGGCAAAGAACTTTAAGAGAAGTTCAAGTACAAAAGATTATGGAAAGGTCGCAGAGTCACAGGTTTTTCTACATAAAACAACCCGTCTCTCAGTAATAAAGGAACTTATTATAGATACAAACAATTACAAGAAATAAACAAAGGGAGAAAACAATGGATGGTCTTACCGCTGAAAGCGATCTCTTCCAGGCAACCTTTGAATGGAGAGGAGTAATTATAAACAATTAGATAGGAAGCATGATGAAAATTCTGTCATTTTTAATTGTAGTGTTAATAATTCGATAAATATACAGTTTATTACCTGTATCGCGGTCCAGCTGGCTATATCTCGAATTTGGTGATTCCGGGGTAGTTGGCGGTGGATCTAGTAACAGAAAGGTGTAAACAAAAATATATAAAAAAAAAAACTAACTGTAATATTAATAATTCAAAAATGTCATTACTTGTGGTCATTATTGATGGTTAGTTAAGCAAATATCTGATTAATAACCATTCATAATAGAAGTAAATCACTGGTTGAGTTATACTGTTAATGATATTTTCTGTTTTTTCTGTTTATGATTAACTATTATAGTATACGAGTATATATATATATATATATATATATATATATATATATATATATATATATATATATATATATATATATATATATATATATATATATATATATATATATATATATGACCCGGCAAACGTTGTTTTGCCATTACTTACTTACTATTACTTACATTACATTTCTACATTATTTCTAGAAAATATTTTTTTAATTCAATCAAAAATAGCTAACAATATAAGTGTGCAGGGATGGAATGGAATGGAATTTTATCCCACCGCAGTCGCCTTTCATGGGTAGATGTTGGGAAAGACTGGTCCAATCCGTCATGAGAGCGTTGACAGCTCATATGTGTGTATTCTATGTTGTTTGTGCCCCGGCATAGAATGGGCCACCCCTTTCTTTCCAGTAAGTGTCGTAAGAAGCGACTAAGGAAGAGTAAGGAATAGGCAGCAGCAGCGTCCCTCTTAAAACATCTCTAAACCCGCCTGCCAAGCGTGGCAACTACTGGCAAAACTCCCCTTATGGGGAAGGCTTATGTTCAGCAGTTGACAGTTAACTGCTCAAAAATGATATTTAATCCATTATTATATATTAAATAAATATATTAATTAATATATTAAAAGCATTCGTAATGGTATCTTTAGATCATATGATATTCATAAACAACAATATTATTGTATGCTATGCAATATGCCTTGTGCTGATAGACTGCAATACATTTATCCACAAATATCTCCAAGGAAATCTTATCTCGGAGCTTGAATATAATCGTAAAAGTATAATGTGTCTCTATGAATAAATTTTGTGGTTATAAAATATTTGCCATTGGGGATTGAGATATTTTTAGCAGCGACCTCCGAAGCACCAAGTTTAAATTGTGCTTCGCATAAATAAGATTGTAAATTCCATGTTCGATCTAGAATCTGGAATTGTATGCATCAAGTTTAGGTTTTATAAGTAACCAGCGATCCGCTCCGGCTTCGCACGGGTGCATATTGCGCCATTACATTAGAAACCTTTAAAATTATCAGTGTTCCTCTACTGTATTATACATTTAACTATTCTCTTGAATCACTCTATTTATAAAAAAAAAACGCATCAAATTCAGTTTTAACGATTTAAGCATACATAGGTACAAACAGACGGAAAGCGACTTTGTTTTATACTATGCAGTGATATTTTAAGTTCTATAAATATAATAAACTTTGTAACGATGGATGCATGTATGAATGGATATATGTATGTTACTCTTTCACGCATAAACTACTTAACGGATTTGAGCAAAATTTGGTACACGAGTAGGTTATGTCCTAACTTAGTATATAGAATTATTTTATATACTGATTTATGCAAGTGAAACCGCGAGATACACGTAGTAAATAAATTAAAATTACCATGCAGGCCAAGCGAGTCCCATACGATATTCTAGTCATAAAAATTAGTACAATGTCGTACTCCTACTCTGTAATGGAATTTATTATATAACACATTTTTTTTTTCATTTAAAAGTTTCCTTTTGTCGATGCCACTAGTTAATGCATTTACTTCCAGCCAGCTCTATCCCAGGCCATATCTTTGACCTCTCTATACGACATGACATCTAGTGTTTTCTTTATCTGTTCCATATAGATATTCCTCGGTCTTGCCCTTCCTCTTTTGCCCTCTATTTTCCCTTCTACTATGCTCTCTAAAAAATCGTCATTCCATATAAGGTGGCCCAGCATTTTGCCACTTCTATTTTTTATTGTTTATTTTAATGTTATATTTTCTTTTTTTTTTTTTGAGGTCTTGGAAAGGATGAGTGGGAAAAGGACATAAATATAGTACATACCTCTATAAAATATATCTCTCTTTCTGCTAAAGTAATTAGCCAGTGGAACTTGCATATCGCAGAGAACTTCAACAGTAGGTGGCAAGGCGTCTATCCTGACCACGGCGCTCGTCACCGCCGTATACCGTCCGTTGATGATGTTGATTGATGATTTAGCTTTAACAGACCTGATGACAAATATTCACTTTCAATTTAAATGTAATTTTTTTAACATATTTTGATCTTTAAATATTTATTTGTTACTCAATCACGCTTAACGGATGTACTGATTTGAATGAAATTTGGTACACAGATACATTATAGCCTGACTTAACATATAGGATATATTATGTACCGATTTACGCATGCAAACCCACGGGATACAACTAGTTACTTCATATAATAATGTAACGTAATATATTATTCATCATGTGTTCCTGGCATAGAATGAGCCACTCCTTTCTCACCCGTGGGTGTCTTAATAGGCGACTAAGGAACCTAATAGTCGAGGGATGGGCAGCAGCGCCCCTCGTTAAATATCACCAACATCTAATTGCGATTACTAAGCCGCCTGCCAAGCATGGTAACCACTGGCAACCCCCCCCCCCCTTCCTCCCTATAGGGGGAGACGTACGTTCAATAGTCAACAGCTAATATGATGACGATGATAAATATATTGTAATGTGATATAACATTAATTTTAATAATAAAATATCAATAATTTGAATAGCAAACATAGACATTCCAATGAATAGACGGAATACCAATTCAATAAACCGAAATACGAAATGCATGACTCGTCTAGATATTTTAAATGTTCTGGCTACTTATTCGACTCACTTGGTATATCTGAATTATGTAGTTCAATTGTAAGAAATATGTTAATACTCGTATGTACGACCACATAATATAACACTACGCACGTTTCGTTAGCCATTATATTATACAAAAAAAAATTGCGAATTCGAAGTAATATGAAATAATATTTTCTTGTAGAAAAAATATGATACTCGTAATTTGTGAATCTATATAGGCTCCACTACTAGTATAATTTTGTAGATATAATTCATAAGAATATTTAATTATAGTTAGTAATAGTGTGTGTGTGTGTGTTTGTGTGTGTGCGTGCGTGCGTGCGTGCGTGCGTGCGAGCGTGCGTGCATGCGTGCAATCGTCCGTGCGTCCGTGCGTGCGCGCGCGCTGTCGTGTGCGCGTATATATATATATATATATATATATATATATAAATAAATATTTAATTAATTTCTTTAGTGAGTCTTATAAATTTACCAAAAACCATAGAGCATTATTAATACAAATAATACATTGATAAAAATTTACTGTAATTACATGTACGAGTATATTAATACATATCTAATACTATATTTTGCTGTTATTAAAATATTTTTAATAATTTAATAATTCTACATTATAATTTACTAAAATATAAAATATAATTTACTTGTCATAATCTATTGTAAGAGTCTACAACAACAAGAACAGAATAAGTCGTTGTTAGCGAGCCAATTTGGCGAATAAAATGATATTGTATTCCAAGGATTTCAATACTTGTATCTGTAGCAATCCTACGTACATAAATAATTGGAAGGTCGCAACAAACCCAAATATTTTTCTACAAACATATCACTGTAACATAATAAACATATTATATATCTATATTATATGCAAATGAGTGAATATATTTTACGAACATGTTATATTTTTATATTTATATACCTCCTTTTATTTAGTTGTCGGATAATAGAATAAAATACAAAAATATTACATATATGAGAAGCGTCTCATATTAGGCAAAAGGAACTGGCTCAGCTGATGCTGCGAGTGTCCCAGTGTAATGTGAACAGCTGCACAACGCTGGTTTTCAGCTAGTTTCTCTCTTAAAAAAATACAACAACAATGCAAATGGGAACTGAACTTGCCTGTTACAAGAATTATTTCTTAGTATACTTAATAATAAATAGATTGTACTCTGTATGCAATATAATTATTAAAAATGTACCAATCTTAATAATACTACAACGTAGATAAGGCTTTGTTCGCATGAATTAAAACAAAAAACATGCTTACTAAGTATTAAGCCGGGACAAGGTTATTCTATGGCTGTTTGGAGAGGATGGATTAAAGAAGAATTATGAATGTGATTTATCGAGCGAGAATGAACGGAGATGTCGGTAGAGACTACCCTAGATGGACATATTTCGACCAAATAGGCGACATGCTGAAAAAGGGTCCCATTTTGTAATATCAGAAGAATGTAAATTTTTTTAAATATTTATTTATTTATTCTTTATTGACCACGTTACAAAAAGTTTTTGGTAAAAAAGGTAGATCTAATGCTATATTGAAAATTGTTGTAGATAAACTTTGAATAGCAAATTATATATACCCCCTTATTCATAAAAATGACAAATCTCTCATTAACCTATTTTAAGCCTTGAACTGTTTTGTTTCTTTCATTTACACTAAATTATACTCTGTTATGTCCATGGTACTGCTCATGTCTATAGGCGACGGTTACCACTTTCCATCAGGTGGGCCGTCAGCTTGTTTGCCATTCTAAGTTGTATAAAAAAAAAAACACTAAATTCCTAATTTTAAAGAAAGTAACAAGACAGTGTAACAGTTAATAGGTTTGTAGGAGGTTTTACATTCATTAATAAGGGGGTAATATATAAATAACGGGTCCAGTATACGCTTATCTTGGATTATATAGATAGTGTCTCCATAAAAATGCTTCGAGAAAAACGTATCAACTTTTTCGTACAATTTTGAATGACAAATAGTTATAAGTGATTCCTTTATAACTTCTATATTTATTTTGTCTAATAATTTCTGTATAATTATATATTAATTATATATATATATATATATATATATATATATATATATATATATATATATATATATATATATATATATATATATATATATATATATATATTATACAACTTAGAATGGAAAACAAGCTGACGACCCACCTGATGGAAAGTGGTAACCGTCGCCTATAGACATGAGCAGTACCAGGGACATAACAGAGTATACTGTTTCGCCCATGATACTCCCCACGCGTTGCCATTCCTGAGGACTCAGGTGTTATTCCTCTGTACCCAGTAAATTCACGAAATATCCCACCCTTCAAACCGAAACACAGCCATGATATATATACATGAAACTCAGTATTAAATAATTGAAACTTATTGCCCTAAAACACGCAGAAAAAGACACGAGGTTCAATTATTAACATATCTTTAAAATACATACCTATTAGCAACTAATATAACTAGCTCGGGTCTAGGGAACACTCCTTCCACAGTACAAATGATGTTCAGGTATCCGTCCTCCAGCCTATCTACAATCATTTCAAATCTCTTTTCTGGCACTGTAACAAAAATACTTATTTAATCCTTACTTATCCTTATTAATATTATAAAAGTAAAAGCGAGTTTGTTTGTTTGTTGCCTTATAGCACCTTACAGCAGGGATTCCTAAAATTTTAAGATAACGGAACGCTCACCAAATACCTTTTATTTTATCGAACCCCATATCAAACGATTACAAATTAAAAACACTGTAATTTGAATAAAAACAATAACTTTTATTAGAAATATTTTAAAAGTATAACATTTTGTAGCGTTCTTTCATTTTTAATGTGAAGACTGAAATTGTTTTACTGTATAAGTAATTTTGCGGATCCCTGGTGACTTTTTTACGCAACCCAGGATCTAAGTTCGAGGTTCCGTCGAACCCATTTTAGGAATCGCTGCCTTATAACTAACCAGTCACTGTGAAATTTGGTATACACCTTACTATATAGAACGGAAGAAAATATAAGCTAATCTTTATCCTGGTCAGTAAACATATCCTGATCACGTAGACGTAGTCACGTGTAAAAGTTAGTTAATATTATAAATACAAAAGTGAGTTTGTTTGTTACCTTATGACGTATTAACCGTTCAACTAAACATAACGGTATTAAATTTAGGATAGACAAGGACACAGACTTGGGATAACAAACCGCTGGGGTCAGAAACTTGAAATTTTGTATCGTTTTATGACATAAACATCAAACTAAGCTCCCAAATATCCCAAAGGAATGGACGATAACCAATTCTGTCGGGAAACCACGATAATAATTGCTTATAAAGTGTATACAGTAACGTTAAATTAATTGTCCTAACATAAAATATGAATTTTAAATATCATAAAGTGTAAATCGTGAGATCCGGGTATAGAATGGGCCACACCTTCCTTTCCCGTGAGTATCGTAAGAGGCGACTAAAAAGATTTAATGGTCGAGGGATGGGCAGCAGCTTCCCTTTTTAATATATCACCAAAGCCTAACTGCGATTGCCAACCCACTTGCCAAGTATGGTAACTACTGGCCAAACTCCCGCTTATGTGGAAGGCCCATGTTCAACAGTGGACACTTAACAGCTGATATGATGATAAAAGACTACCGCCTAAACCATATTTTAAAAAAAATGGTCACACTCACTTTTTTACTTTATCCCAGTAGTCACCAAAGGGATACTTTGTACAAAAGTCGATTGCTTGGGTACCTCTGTCCCAAACGTGTTTCTACCGTCAAGTAGTTGTGTTTACATGGCTGTGTTTCGGTTTGAAGGGTGGGATATGGCGTGAATTTACTCTGGGTACAGAGGAATAACATCTGAGTCCTCAGGAATGGCAACGCATGGGGAGTATCATGGGCGAAACAGTATACTCTGTTATATCCATGGTACTGCTCATATCTATAGGCGACGGTTACCACTTTCCATCTACTACAGGAAAACTTTTTAAAAATACTGCACGGGTATCTCTATCCCACTCATGTTATCACGAAGCAACTGTGTTTTAGTTTGATGCATAGATCATGGCAGTAAAATTACAGGATACGGAGACATACCAACGAATTGGACATCAAGAATGACAAGAAATGAAGTTTGGGTAGCATAGTGTACTCTGTTATTTTCATAGCACTGTATCTGTCTATAGGCAACAATTGCCACTTCCATCGGGTATGCCGTAATCTTTTTTTATTCCATGTATCATAAAATATACCATACCGTACAATACTAGCGTTTTTTTATTAATTACACTACCCAAAAATTTTCTGAAATTGCTTTAGCAATAAAACCACTGTTTGCACTATTCTATTATATTATTCTTTAAGTAGAGCAATAAAGAATAAATAAATAAATAGCCACAAAAAAAGACGTCATTCTTGTTCTCTCAATCTTTCGTCGTACTCGTGAATGCAAAATTATATTCTATTCTCTTCCGATATATCGTGACACGATACCATTCATATTAAAACTTCGACGATAAAACCACTATTTACCTGAAATCGCATCGCGTCAACAATCGGAAATTTAATTACAAATAATAAAACCTTTATTAAATAAACCCCTTCGAATCAGTTGACGTCAAATTGCAGTACTAGTTGGGACATGGTTTAGTCAACATTCAACGGTTGGCGATCACGCGAGCGGTAATGGATACGATAATATGTAAACGAAGATACATATTTCCACTAGAAATATTATTAGGTACTTGCGTTTATAAATGATATTTGCAAACACAAAATTATTATAAGCCTGTATACGTCGGCTGCTTTTGTTATTTATCGCGTCACGATATCATACGATTTCTTGACATGAATAGAATAGAATGGACTTGATTTTTTTTACAGAAATAAATTAAATAATTAATATTATTGGATATGGCAATGCAAAGAGCCATAACACCTTAGTCCTCAGAAATAATAACGCATTAAGTGCATTATGGCGCCACTGTATACTCTGTTATGTCCATGATACTGTTCATGTCTTTAGACGACGGTTTTTTTTTAATGGGTGATAATGGAATGGTAACCCCACACGCGCTATCGGTATACACCGGCAAATCACCAGTGAAGGATGATAGGTGAAGATGAAGCAGGTCAGTTAGCCCACCGTGACGAATTCAACAAGAATTGTTCACGATGGTTTCCAGGGGGAAACACGTGGAGGTCGACCTAATATAGTTGGCATATTGCTAGCAATGGGGCTGTCAAACTTCATTGCTAACAATCCCTTTCCCCCCTTAGACGACGGTTACCATATTCCAGCAGATGAATCGTCAGCTTATTCGCTATTCTAAATTGCACAAGAAAAATATTCTACAGTATTTAAAATGTTAAGTTTGTAAAATAATATTACATAGTTCATTGAAGAGTTTACCACCCAATTCCGAGTCCAATTTCAACACAGAAGACTGGGTAAGAAACTCCGTGTTTGTCTTTTTTAGTTGAACAAAATTTTTAAATTTTATAAAAATAAAGAAACACATTAAAAATACCAATTTTTTTTTATACAACTTAGAATAGCAAACAACCTGACGGTCCACCTGATGGAAAGTGATAACCGTCGCCTATAGACATGAGGAGTACCATGGACATAACAGAGTATACTGTTTCGCCCATAATACTCCCCATGGGTTGTCATTCCTGAGGACTCAGGTGTTATTCCTCTGTACCCAGTAAATTCACACCATATCACACCCTTCAAATCGAAACACAGCCATGTAAACACAACTGCTTCACGGTTGAAACATGAATGGGACAGAGGTACCCAAGCAATCGACTTTTGTACAAAGTCTCCCTTTGGTATAAAATTAACCTCTGTACCAATTAGTACAGAGTCATAAAAATCAAAACCTTCAAAAGAAGAGCATCATCGTCACCATATCAGTCTTTAACTGCTGAACATAAGTCTCCAGTTTCGAGGGTTTTGCCAGTAGTTGACATGCTTCACAGGCAGATTGGCAACCGCAGTTAGGTTTTGAGGATATTTTAGGACGGGTGTTGCTGCCCATTCCTCGCCCTACCTTAGTCGACTCCTACGACACCCACGATTAAGAAAGGTGTGATCTATTCTAAAGCTGAGACTACATGGAACGGAACAGAAAAGAAGAGCATATTCCTTCTTAAAAGGTCAGAAACACAGCTACAAATTTTCTGATGTTGTAAGTGCCTATGGACGATGGTAATCACTTACTTTCAGGTAATCTGTATGTTGGTTACTCTCTATGTTTAAAAAAAGAATAATTCGACGTAATTGGATATTATAGTCTCAAGAAACTATAGCCAAAGTGAGAATCTTCTTTAAGACGTCGCTTAAAATAGTAAAATATCATGTTATGCTACAATAAATTATAAAAGCGGCCATTAAATTATAATTTATTGAGAAGCTTAGGTTTCTAAACAAAGTGCTCTAATTTATTGAAATGCCTAACAGTTGCCAAACTATTGCTCAGGACCGACCGAGATATCAGAACATAGATTTAGCTGAGTTAGATGTTGCTTTAAGAAAAGGTACGGAATAAATTTGAACTCTAAAAGCATTGCATTTGAAACTCGCGGTAAATTTTATTTTGTAATATATAAAATTGCAAGGGATGCCATTTTTAGTATATAGATTGTTCAAATTCCAGCCGCTAAAATATTTTAAATAAATCAATATGCTATCGACTGGAATCTGTAATGCGGTAGACATAGGAATTTTTCGTTTGTTACTAAAATATTTTAGTTAAACTATTTACGTCATCTATCTATAAAACGTCTTTGGGAATAAAGCTGTGCGCATATTTATTTTATTTTTAATATTAAGGTATATTCTAATTCATGTGACTCTTCTATTTTTATAAAAAATCACCAATATCCTGACTTAATACCAAAATTTTTACACTCTGATAGGTTTATTGCAAAAATTTCATCTAACAATCTAATAAGTTCAACGTAAGCGCAATTTGTTGTCTGGTCTCGGCATCGAATAAGCCACTTTTTCTTTTCCCATGGTTGTTGTAAAAGGCGACTAAGGAAACTTGATGATCGAGGGATGGCCTGTTCGGACGTTCCTTCCAAAACATTTTCAAAGCCTTATTATGGTTGTTAACCCTCCTGCCAAGTGTGGCTTCAACTGGCAATCCCATATTATTTAGGGGGAAGGCCTATGTTCAGCAGTGGACAGATGACGGCTGATTGGAATTGAAATAAGATTAATATCACTTCTATTTTATCTAAATCTTCATCGCGCTTCAAATATTGATGGATTTTATCGTATTATAAACGAAATAGCCATTTGTATTCCATTAGCCTCCCATCTTTGCCTTTGTTTTAGTTCGACTTGTTTTGTAATGAACGATCAGTAAGTAGTAATTCACCGCGCTCATTGTTTTTCTTTTACTTTTCGGACTCTTGTGCTTTGTTTACTTTTGTGTTTAATGGATTCCTTTGTATTATTTATTTGTGATATTCGTCTAATTATATATTATGTCTATTCAAAATATTCTGATAGCCTAGGTGGGCTACAACATAAATGATGAATGCAAAGTAAAATATTACATTTAGATCGTGTTCCACAAATCAAAACCAAACAATTTGATTTGAAAAGTAAACGAATAAACTGATTTTGATAAATAGAACCAATCTTTAAGTATATCCTTTCAGATAAAAAAAAAAACTTTTTTTTATCGATTTACCTGTACGAAGCCGAGCTCGATCGCTAGTTATGTACTGTAATCATCATGTTACTCGTTAGGCTTTGGTGATACTTGAATAGGTACGCTGATGCTCAACGCTCTATCATTGAATTCCTTTAATCTTACTACACTCATGGAAAATGAAATGTTCTATAGGTGAAAGAATTTTAACAATCAATTGAGTAGTTTTTCTTCATGCCTTATCAACAAACAAATGTTTTCCCCTTATAATATAAATAAATAGCAATCAAGCTACAATTATTAATTTAGTATTTTCTTCTTCAGCTACATCTATGAATTTAGAATCAATTAATTCTGCTTCCTCTTTTGCTGTAACTTCTATAAATAAACCAGCCTGTTCATCTAGACGAGACTTGGTTGCATCAGCGCGCAAACTTGTGTGAAGTAATTTCCGTTTCATCTCAGCTCACAAAGCATACTACCAGTACGAAACTAACAACATTTCTGGTTTCAAGTATTATTATAGGTTGCTTACGTAGCAATAAGATACGTTGAATATTAACTAATTTGACTCAATAAAATGTAAAATAAAATAACCTGATGTAAAACTCTGTACCTTAAAACATTCAGTAAGATTTATCTGTATGTACGTTTTTAATTTAATATTTGTTTCAACAACTCCAAATCTAAAGACTTCAAAAACATTTTTTGTATTTTAATTAAATCCTGGTTTAATATAGGACGACAAATAACCGAGTTTGTTACATTATTAATAAAAAAAAAATAGTCTGAAACTTTAAAAATTTGTTTGGATCAGCCTTGAGAGATACAGTTTCATCAGTTTTTTATATTTTTTTTATAATACTTAGTTTTGAGAAACAAGTTAATAGCCCACTTTATGGAAAATAGTAATTGTCATCTATAAACATGATTATCACCTCGAATATCTCAAAATTCAATGCAATACCCAATGTTCTGCTCAAATGTTGCAGTTTCTGGAGACTAATAAAAATGCATGTGTAAGTCTTCTCTTCATGCAGATAAAGTCCTATATCAGTTTTTATGGGATATATTGCATATATTCTACCATAAATTTCATGACGACTGGACGAGCATTTATAATGTACCAACCAAAAAAATCGCTTTGATTTATAAATAGCAACGAATATATCCCGTGGCTTCATCCATAGTCTTATTGTGATTTTAAATAGCTTATATCCTATCTTTCTTCAAGATGTGATATATCAAATGTATAAAGAATTTTTAAATCCGAATATTAATTTCAGAGATTAGCACATTTAAACAAACAAACTCTTTTGCTTCCTTACATTGCTACAGTCATTAGTAAGGAGAACTCACCAAAAATAGTCATAGGCTTTGTCTTCTGGTCCTCAGCTAGAAACGTCGACACGACACACGTGTAGTTCCCAGTGAGCTCTGGGGTTGGATTCTTTATACGCAACGCCCTGTGCTGAGCGTATGGGTTATGGGATGATTTGTAGTTGAGATCCAACTGCGAACAATAAAGTTTATTTAATTTCCAACGTAAACGTGTAATGACTGAGCATAATTATTATTTCTTAGCTGATAGTATAATGTATCAGATTTAATTTCATCCCCAAGATATTAGAAAACAACGAAGCAAAAACACAATACACTAATACAAGAGTAGGAAAACTATAGAAATTCTATACCAAGCGGTCTGGTTACCACATTAATAAAGACAAATGAAAGATTTATACAAAAATTATCTTCATGGGTTCCTCTGTCCTCTCCATATTTCTACCGTGAAGTAGCTGTGTATGCCTGGTTGGGTTCCAAATTAAAGAGTGATACGGCAGTGACGTTACAAGGTATAGAGGCATAACCCCCTAGTCCTCATAGTTTATTCTGTGACGTCCATTGTTCTCTTTATGTCTAGAAACAACAGTTGTCTCTTTCTATCAGGTGGGTCAAGTATCGTATCGATATATTTTTGCGATCATATTTCACATCCTACAAGAGAAAGAAACATGAAAATTCTCAAGAGAACTAAAGTAACCGACATGGAAAGGAGAATTTGTAAATTAAAGTGTCAAAGGACCGGCTGTACAGCTCAATCAAAAAATAACCAATGGGGAAAAAGGTTCTAGTTGCAGCGACACCCGCAAGAGAATGTTGCAAGGACTCGCTGAACAGACGTGGCACAGGATTGTACTTTGGAATAAGGCAAAGGGTACGTAATATGTGGGAGACCTTTGTTCAATAGTGAATCATGGATAGGTAGTGATGATAGTTTTTTTTATACCACAAAGGTTGTCACCGCATACTGTACAAGTGGCCCGTCTGATCGTAAATGGTTACAGTGTCTATGGATGCCTGTAATACTAGGGGCATCACGTGCACGTTGCCAATCCTGAAGAAACCTTAATATACCCTTTTTGAAGAACCCCATAGTGCAGTCTCTAAGGAAAACCTAGGGATAGTGATGACAATACGAAAAAAAGAGATAATAGTTTATCTTATTTTTCCAAAACCACAAATCTTTGTTTTTGGTGACAATCCTATTTAAATTTGTGGTTTTACGTCTCTGGATAATAAACCACAATTCACTTTCGAAACTGTAATGCATTATTTTAATTTACAGCTCCAATCAGTCATTTGATTACCTAAGTTTAAATAGAAAATTCGTAAAATCGCCAAATATCTTAAAGTTGTCGAAGCACTGTAGATACGTTAATGTAGATATGACGGGGGCGTCCCCCTCTTTGCTCCCACATCCATCAATGTCACTGAAAATATGTGGTTAATGTTAGACAATGCCGGTCCATTGACTTTGTGCGCCAAGTAGAAAAGGTAATATATTATGTAAGCCAGGTCACATTGCACCGTGGCTTTGTGATGCCAAAAATCAGAGAAAACAGTACATCTATTACACACAAACGCTAACCATATAACAATAAAGAACATTGAAAAAAAAAATATAATAATAATCACTACATCATTGCCAGGTTAGGTGTTTTCTTTTTCACAATTTTGGGTAAAAAATTTTCTATTCGCGAATTTTTGGAGAATTGAAATTCTTGAAAAAATTTTTGGAGAAAATTGAAATGGGTTTTTGGAAATTTGGGTAATTTTTGAAAATTTTAAGTAACAGTTTTAAAACTTATAGTTAAATAAGGTACACAATATAACAAAATATATAACAAGGTGCATAACGTAAAGAGAAGGGGAGGTAAAAATAGAAACGGAAAGAATGACCTGCTGTTTTTCGTCGTTCATTTTATAGCACATGTAGAAAAAAACGATATTTAGATATGCGATAGGGTAAAATAATAGGGTAAAATTATATCAATTTGAAGAAAAATTCAAAATTCGCATCTGACAACACTGAATTAGTGATAATCAGATCATTTATGCGTCAAATGTATAGGCCAGGTTACGTTGTGGGTGGCAATAGGACTTCGTAATGCCAAAAATAACGGAAAGCTGGTGAAATATATACCTATATTTTTATCGTATAAGTTAAAGCAATTTATTGATAAACAGACTATGAGTAAATTATCAAAATTACCTACATTCTAGCAAAATAAATTCATTTCATTTTAATGTTGAAAGAATTTGTCTTCTGAATCGATCTTAAAAACTCAGCTCTCCTAATGGGGTAAGCAAAGACTTATCAAATTTTCTCATAGTGGTGAACATATCACATAGTATGCCCATACTTCTCCAACTATATTAACAATGTGTCAGACTATGAATGGCAAATAAGCTGAGGGCCCACCAGATGGAAAGTGGTAACCGTCGCCTATAGACATGAACAGTACCATGGACATAACAGAGTATACTGTTTCGCCCATGATACCCTCCATGAGTCGCCATTCCCGAGGATTCAGGTTGTTTTTTTTAATTATCGCGCTATCGGTATACACCGGCACGCTAATGGTATAAATCCTTTACCGGGCACCAGTAAAGGATGATAGGTGAGGATGAAGTAGGTCAGTTAGCCCATCGTGACGAATTTTTTTTTGACGAAAAGAATTGTTCACGATGGTTTCCAGGGGTAACCATGTGGAGGTCGACCTAATATAATCAGCAATATAGCTAGTCATATTGCTAGGAATGAGGCTATCAAACTCCATTGTTAACAATTCCTTTCCCCCAGGACTCAGGTGTTATTCCTCTGTACCCCGTAAATTCACTGAAAATATGTACCCCGTAAATTCATATCCCATCCTTCAAACCGAAACATAGCCATACAAACACAACTGCTTCACGGTAGAAACACGAAGGAGACAGAGTTGCCCTGTACAAAGTCACTAGGATTAATTTGATTTGTTACTGGTGTTTCTATTGCCAAAAAATTAATTGAAAATATTTACATTAATACACAAAATGATGTATTATTATATTTATAACTTGAAACGTTTACAAGATACAAGAGAAATCTATTAATTAACAAATTACCACTATAATTAACGATAATAATAGAAAAATTAACAGTTCTTGTAAAATCTGATATAACATTAACACTAATATCTTGTTTTATTAGTTACAATATTTGTTCAGTGGAATAACAAATTAATAATGTAATTTTGCTACATACATACATACATACATATCCGTCACGCCTGTCTCCCATTAGGGTAGGCAGAAACAATGGAACGCCAAATGCTTCGATTCAAACAAACCTCTTTCGCTTCTTCTTCTTCCTTCTTCTTCTGTAATCTTGATAATATAATAAAATTGTGTCTATAAAATGTATATGGGAGATATTTAAGAAAACATTAAATAAGAAGTCTTAATAAGAATATTTTTTAGGAATGTCTGTCAGTCTGTATATTTCTTCCCCAAAAACTATTACACCAAATGTTATGCGGTTTTGACAATTATGTTCCTGAAGACGTAATTTAAAACATGCATTATATTGTCATGACGCATCATCTAGAAGTGACCTATTAAAAATTAAATCCACGCATACGAAATTTGTTACAATTATTTTGTTTCAATTCCGCTGCCATTAATTTGTATACGACTGCCAATACTACTATTATTGTAACCAAAAGTTCTACAACCTACCATATCAGCCATCAATCTCCGACCATCATTATTCCACGCATGCTTTGTGACATGTTTCAAATAAGAAAATATTATATATATTATAGATGTACCTTGTCTTTCAAGATGCCTAATGCTTGCGGCTTCTGCGGTGGTATCCATTGATATACCAACTGTGACTTGTCCATATAGAACCATTTAACGACCAGTCCCATCACGTTATCTGTGACGTAGTCACAATCCAACGTCACAGAATCCATGGTGCCGTATTGTACCACTTCTGGTACGCGCATGTAGATGATGCGAACTGACTGGACACCTGCAAATACATTATATTATTATTATATTAGTCGTTAATTGTCCATTTCTGAACGTAGGTCTTCGTCATAAAGGAGATTTTGCCAGTAGTTGCCACGCTTGGCAGGTACATTGGCAACCGCAGTTAGTCTTTGGTAATGTTTTAAAAGAACCACTGCTGCCTATCCGTCGACCATTAAGTTCCCTTAGTCGCCTCTTACAACACCAATAGGAAGGAAATGGTGGCCCATGCTGTGCCGGGATCACACGACGCAAATATGTAATATAGTTATAAAATTTTCAGTATATTTTTTAATGGGTGATAATGGAATGGTAACTCAATCTATGCTATTAGTATACACTAGCGGGGCACCAGTGAGAGATGATAAGTGAGGATAAAAGCATGTCAGTTCGTTCATCGTGACGAATTCAACAAAGTTGTTTAATATAGTTAAAACAATACTTTTTATGGGGAAATACGTGGAGGTCAACTCAGTAGGGTATATTGCTAGCAATGGGGTTTTTAAATCCCAATTCCTAACAATCCTTTTACCTGGGAGTATTTTCAGTAGGTATATATATACACTTTAGAATATATAATACGTTATATATGTTTTACAAATTACACTTTTTTAGGTTTATGTTCAGCAATAAAAGATGCCAAGACTGATAGATATTTATAACTGCTAATTATTATTATTATAAATTATAATTTAAGAATTTTAAAATAAAACTGTATTAATTGCGGCAAAATTGATAAGAGACAAAATACGCAGATTGAAAATTTCATTAAAATTCTCACCATCAAAACTTATTGTAATGAGATTTATATAAATGTCCATTGTACTCAATAAATAATAACCAATTAGATTAAAAACTATCTATTTAATTTTAATAAAAAAAATGTATCATTTATCATTAAAATTTACTGTATTTATTATTTTTTAAATGTTTCAATAAAGTGTAAATTACTGATTAAAAAAGAATGTAAAACTAAAATATATTAACTTCTATAGAAAATAAAATATTAAATCAAAAGAGAAAGTAACCTATACCCTTCTTCGTGTTATATATTTGATCAATGTAGGAAATTTTATAAAGAATAATTAAAGCCAACAAGATGTCAAAAACTACTTAACAAACACACTTTAATTTATAATATAAATAAGGCTTATTTTCATAATGATTCAATTCATTACAAGCGAACACCAATCAATGCTTGGATCGATGCTTTCATATAAAACAAGAATGTCATATTGACTCGGGATTTTTGCCCAAATAATCTGGCAGACAATTGAGAGAATTCAAGCGAGCGCATTAGCCATTTTCTCATCCGGAAACATCATATTATCGAAGGAAAGATTCCGCTAAAATATTGTTTTGTGGTTTCCTATCAATTCCCGGGATTCGGCTGAATATTCCTACTTTTTTCCTCATACATTTGAAAGAAACCTTGATGATGTTTTTTTCACACGACATTTTTTTATTATTCACGTTCACGGTGAACGGTTATCTCAAAAAAGGTTTTTAAAAATCCTTTCTGATACTGATTATCTGAAGATGCTTACTTTATACAACTGAATTATAAACTTTAATTTACCTTCTTATTCACAAAAACTTAACTATTACACTATTTTTGTCCCTTTCTCGCAAATTGAAAATTTTGCACAAATAAAGACAAAATATCTGTTTTTAACTAATAGTTAGCTGGTAGAGAATGTCATATGGCATTAAGCTCGCCACTTGTACAAAATTTGATTGTGCAATAAAGAATAAAATAAATAAATCAAATAGTTCAATAGCTAAAATAGATTTATGAGAGTCAGTTCAGAGAGAGGTCAGTTAATAGTCACTCAGGAGGGGGATAAGGGATTATTAGCAATGGGGATTACCAATCCCGTTGCTAGCAATAAACTCTATCAGGTCGATCTCCTCGCGGTTCCCTCTGGAAACCATCTTGATTGCTGAATTCGTCACGATGGGCTAACTGACCTGCTTCGTCCTCATCTATCATGCCTCACTGGTGCCCCGCCGGTGTATATCGATAGCGCGGGTGGGGTTACCATTCCATTATCATCCTTTAAAAAAAAATAGTCACTAAGGACAAACGATATTCTAAAGTATTTGCTTTGGAGTATGTACAATGAAATGGCACAAATATTATTCATTTTATTTTTTTATTTACACTTTATTGCACCAATTAAAAATAATAAAGTTCATACAATAAATTAATTTACATAACAGTAATAAAATACAGTAAATTTTAAAGAAAAGTGATACAAAAGGCAGACATATTGCTAAGCAATCTCTTTCAAACAACTTATTTTATCAAAACCCTTGCATATAATTGAATTTGTTTATTTATTACTTCTTAGTACTTTATCGGCTCGACTAATCGTCATGAAACCATACGCACGTAATTTTTAAAATAGAGAAGAGATTGGTCACATGAACGAAGTCGCGGATAAAAACTAGTTTCTATAAAATTTAACAATATCTTTTGCCTATTGCATGCTTGACTGCGTTCCGGGAATCTCAAATAGAATCCCAGCCTAAACCTTTTTCAAACGTTTGGATTATAACAGATAAGCCATAGAAATGACCAAATCCGGATTTCTATTTATAGAAAACATTATGCAATATATCCACAAACACACCCATTGCCTAGTTCACAAGCTTGGAAAAGTACACTACGACACGAAAGACTACAAATAAAATAAGCATAAAATAAAAAATAAATGATTAAACAAGAATTAGAAAGCTGTTGAAATAATTAAAAATTGTGTTCCACAAAAAATAACTTCAGTTGAGGCAAAATCAACTATTTTGATTTCGAAACTAAACTACTGAAGCTATTTTGATAAAATTTATAAATATACTTTTTCAGACAAAAAGAATTTGCCAAATAGGTTTATAATAGACGTTTTTATTAGCTAAAAAACATAATTGTTGTTTTATAACCTGATGCCATCGTTATCCCTTTTACCATCATACCTCTCGCCATAAAACTGAAGTTCGACTCCATTTCTTGGGTGCATGACATAATACTATTTTCCATGCATCCCGTTCATATCTATCTTGTACATCTAGGTTGTGGAATGAGCTTCCGTCTTCAATTTTTCCCTCACAATATAATAAGGGGAATTTAAAAAATCACGTCTAGAAACATTTAAAGGCCAGCAACATACAAGCAACTCCTATCGTGTTGCAGATATTCATGGGCGACCGTAGCCGCTTTCCATCAGGTGAACAGTCTGCTCGTTTGCCTCATTAACAATAAATAAATAAAAAGAATTGATAACCTCCTTCTTTTTAAAGTCGATTGATAAATAAGTGGCTTAAATATTTTTATTTTAATGTCACAAAATATGTATAAGAATTTATTTAAATCTCATTATTAATTTTTGATGATCTCCGAGGGCTAGTAATAGATGCAGAAAACTGATAATTTATTTTTCTACATAAAAAAAAATAATTAATTTTCAATATTAAATAAATAGATAAGATAGAAGTAACTTACTAAAAGTAAAATACTTTATATAAACTAATCAAATAACAGTTTTTTCTAGTACTAGAAAGCCTATGTTAATTTCAGTAAGCATTTATATGGTACACTGCTGTGGTACGAATCTTGTTTCTCATAAGACAGACTCAGCCAAATGTACGAATCAATACTAAACTTGGTGCTTATACAAATATTGTTTAATGTTAAATTAAGTAATATTATAAACAATTCGAATTCGAAGCATTCAAATATACTTATTAATAATGTAAAACTGAAAGTATGTTTGTTTGTTACCTTATAGCGCTTTAACAGCTTATCCAATCCTTATATAATTTTATATACAGATATTAAATGGAATGGAGATGAATATACGTTACTTTTTATCCCGCTAAGTAAACATATCTCAGTCAAGTAAAAGCTATTTTTTTTTTTTAATTGTAACCATATTTTATAAGAATAATAGATTTTTTACATACATACATATATATATATCTGTCACGTCTGTCTCCCATTAGGGTAGGCAGAAACAATGGTGTGGTATAACACCTCCTACTATCATAGTCTTTTTATCATTTAAGCGATCTGCAGACGATTACATTAAATGGTTTTAATATTATATTGTTATTACAACAAATGGAACGCCAAATGCTTCGATTCAAACAAACCTCTTTCGCTTCTTCCACATTTATCAATCTTTTCATACACGCTCGCCGGTTACGGGTACTTTTAATTTGGCCCTTCTTCAGCACGTCGCCTATTTGGTCAACATACGTCCGTCTAGGGCGGCCCCTACCGACATCTCCATTCATTCTTGCTCGATAAATCTCTTTCGTAATTCTTCTTTCATCCATCCTCTCCAAATGACCAAACCAACGCAACAAAACTTTTTGGATTTTTGTCACTACATCGTCTTTCAGTCCACACTTATCACACTGTTTCTTACTCTATTTTTTAATGTAATACCACACATACTTCTCAAGGCTAAGTCTAAGACTAAGACATCGATATTGGGAATAATAAAAATTGCATCATTAAAATGTAAACTGCTAAACATAGGCTTCCTCTACAGACTGTCATAAAGAACGGTCCTGAGCCACCTGCATTCACTAACTCTCACTAATGCACTTGAGGTCGTATTTCTATCTACTGGGGGGTTGTCCTACACTGTGATAATTGCAATCAATCAAATAAACGTTTCAATTAACAATATTTCCATTCTATTTTATACCGTTCATGGTCTTGATAGAAAATTACCTATTGTTTGATTATACAAGGAGTCTCCACTTCCATATTGCAAGGCAGGGATACATTACTTGAGCCAGCGGCCGTAACAGCAATATCCATTGTGCGCCGGTCGTTGCGTAAATATACTAGTACACTAGCTTTATTCTTTGTGCAAAATCGTTGCATTAGAAGACTGAAACCTTATCTATGCAGTCTTGTAAGCCGAAGAAGAATCGTATTTTAAAATAGCAAAAATTGAGATTTCAGTTTATCTAATACATGATGTAAATTAT